CCGTGCAATCTCGTGTGCAATCTCGCGCAATCTCGTGCAGCCTCGGCCCGCGCGACGGAAGATCGTCGAAGTCGCCCCCCTCGCCGGCCAGCGGCGCGGTGCCGCTCAACCACCCGTCTCGGTTGGCGAGGGCGAGCGTGAGGTGCTTGAGTATCTCCTCCGCCTGGCAGTCAGTCCGCCAGTCAGTCCGCGCACTCGTACACACACGGGGCATTGCACGCGAGGCGGTGTGTGCGTTCTCAGAGACAAACGTGCAACTAGTCAGAGGGGCACCAGCAGTGGGAACCTCCGCCTGGCCGCACGCACAAAGTGGTGGGGCAAGCTAGGGGGGCGACCCCCCCTGGCATCTCCACGGCCGGGACACGGGGGCAGGAGCTGGCACGGCATTCGGTGCCCGGTGCCCGCGCGGTGCCGAACCTGTCGGACCTTGAGACTGCCTACTAGCTGTGGTTGCCTACTGCGGCTCTGCCTGGCCGCAAGCCGCCGCCGGCAGCCCCCGCTGCGCGTGCCGGTCGGGGTGCAGGTGCAGCGTCGCCTGGAAGGGCATCGGCGGGTGGGAGGGCGGCAGGCGAGGGAGCGCAGGCGGTCGGGGCGTGGAGGCTCGTGCAGGGAGCAGCGGCGTTTGTGTGGCAGTGTGCTCCGTGGGCAAGGATGGCGGCGGAGAGCGGCGGAGGTCGCCTGCCGGTATGCGCGCTGCACGGCCTTGTCGGCCCGCGAGGTCGGCTCCCAGGTTCGCGCGCCCGTCGGTGGGAGGAGTGCGGGGAAGGCGTCCGCGACCGTCTCGAGCATCGCCACCAGGCCCTTGCCGGCCGCCCAGCGGGACACCTCGCTCGACGGCATTGACCAGCTGCTCCTGCGCTGTTTTTTGACTGAGTCGACGCCGAGAAAAAGAAATCCAATTGTGCTTGTGTTGCGTTGTAGCTTGGGATGTCCGTTGTATTTATTTATTTATTGCGTTGTGTCGGTTTGTAATTACTGTGTTAATTATTAATTATGTATTCCGGAATTCCGTTTGGGGCAGTTTGGGGGAGGTATTAGTGAGGGTCCGGCTGGGTGGTGTAATTAGATAATTACTTACCTTCTTATTAGTTAGTAATGAGGAGAAAAATGAGCTGGGTGCTAGCCGTCGCACACTTCCCTCCCAGGTATCAATCACCTTCCCATGGTACCTATCTACTTGCGATTCATTGGTTGGTGGAGGGCGGGCTATGTGTTGGCTAGCTGCTCGAACGAAGCAGCCGCGATTCGGACTGAAGGGGAAAACAAGGAAGCCGACGGGAAGGGGGGATGCAACGCGGGCCGGCGTAGCTAGGGGCGAGCATGCGTCGGCGGATCCTCCATGAACTGCGTCGTGAGGACCTCTCACATACGTGAGGACCTCGCTCGCAAGTGTGAGGACCTCTGCGCTCCAGGCGATCGTGAGCACCTCTTGGCGTCGATCTCTTGGCGGGCGTGAGGGTGTCAGCTGGCGAGATCTCGGAGTGTAATCTTGCATAGAAAGTCCATTTAAGCCGTATGCACTGGTCCGAGGTCTTCTCACGGGCGCGCCAGAGAGCGCACAGCGAGGTCTCTCAGGCCCTAGCTCAGGTATTGCAGTAGCCGGAAGCAGGGAACACTCACCCCCCAGCACCAGTCTTCTAGGTGGAGGCGGGCCCGCTGGTATCGTCGGGAAGGTCGAGGAGGGTGGGACTGGGTGGATGAGCGAGAACCTGACCAGGCCTGTATATGGGACACGATTGGGACATTTTCGACGCTTTTGTCCCATATACTCGCGCAACAACCCAGCGGTGCGGACATACCACAAACACGAACGACGAAAAGGCAGGGCGAGGCGGATGGAGAAAGAAGTGCCGAGAAGGCCATGGTGGAGGGGAGGGACGGGAGGACGAAAGAAGGGCGAGGAGGACGAGCGGCCCGCACAGACCGCGAGCAGACAGCGCCTGCTGGCCATTTCGAGACATTCGCCAAGAACGCTAGCTACATGGGAGGGCTTCGTGAAGGATGGATTGAAAAACATTCGAACAAAGAAGAGGCGACGGGAGGAACCGGCGGAGGATGCAGTGACGTGACACACACACGTACACACACACACACACACACACACACACACACACACACACACACACACACACACACACACACACACACACACACACACACACACACACACACACACACACACACACACACACACACACACACACCGCTCACCCACGCGCACTGGGCCTTGCACTTTGAATGCCGTGGGGCTCCTGTCGTCAGACGTGGAGACGCGAGGGTTGCCCCCCCTTGCCCCACCACCTCGTGTGTGTGGAGAAGTTACCTACCTACC